TGCTTAGGGCTGTGCTTGGCACTTAGTAAACACTCCATAAATCTTTGCTATTTTTATACAATAGTTCCACATAGAAACAAGCATATATACACAAAGAGAACATTGCGGAGAGTAGGGAGGGTGCTGGTCCTTGTTTCTTTAACATGTCAATGCTCTAAGTCGGTGGGGGGCCTCCTCTAATAGATGTTCCTGATTTGTCCACTATGTTTGGAAATGAAATCAGCACACAGAACAATCTCCCTTTCAACAAAAGCCAGAGGGATTAGGCACAGAGGCCGAGGCAGGAGTATTGCTTGAGGCCAGGGTTCCAGACTAGGCTGGGCAACATTGTGAGACCCCATTTGTGTGTAAAATACAAAATATTAGCCAGGTGCAGTGGCACATGCCTGTAGTCCCTGCCACTCAAGAGACTGAGGCAGGGGGATCGCTCGAGCCCAGGAGTTTGAGGTTGCAGTAAGCTATGATGACGCCACTGCACGTTAGCCCGGGCGTCAGAGCGAGACCCTGTCTCAAAACCAAAACAAAACAAACAAAACCAAAACAAGACAAAAACAAAAACAAAAAAGCCAGAGGGCACAGCCTCACACTCACCTTAATGATCTGCCCCCGGCCTGGCTGCAGCAGCGGGTCTGGTTGCAGCGCCCCTGCCCACACCCCCGTGCAGTTGAGAATCACATCCGCACCGCCTCTTGCCACCTGGCAGCAACCAAGGGGGGAAGGATGGAGTGAGGACCCTGGTATGCCCCGTTCCCTACCTCCCCTCCTCCCACCCAGTAGCCGGCTGCTCCCTGAGGAACGGCAGAGAAGGTTCTCAATGAGGAATCGGGTGAGCCTGGCTCCAGATCTCTGCTCTGCCATTTACCCGATGTGTGACCTCAGAAATCTCCCTTTACCTCTGTGAGACTCAGCTGCCTCTACCACAAAATGGGGCTGGTCATGCCTGTTCATAGGCTGCTATGAGGATCCCACGCAACTTGGCAGAGAAAAGTGCTTGGAAAGGAGTTCTGCGGAACGGGGATACCTTGGCGCCTCCCAGAAGAAGTCAGAAAGGAAAGAGATAGTTCTCTTCCTCCTCTGACTCCTTTTGTTAATAATTTCATTCTCTTGCCTTCTCCTCTGCCAAAGACATTTGCAGAAGACATGTTGGAACCCCTAGCTCTATGTATGAGATACTCGACAACTCAAGGACGTAGCATGATGGGCACCCAAGCTCCCCAGCCCAGCTCCAGTGACTCTTGTCACAGGTCGGTCATGGGACACACATCTTGCAAGG